TGCCTGCTGCACGCCCCACACTGGGGATCGAGTCCACAACCCAGGCATGTGCCCTGACCGCGAATCAAACCTGTAACCTCCTGATTCATAGGTCGATGCTCCACCACTGAGCCATGCCAGCCGGGCTAACACATACCTTCTGTTTGTTTGTTTGCTTATTTTGTGCCTTGTTTACTGATTCCCTGCTAGAAGCAGCACCATAAAGACAGGGCTGTTGTCTGTCCCGTGTAGCCCTGCTCTCTCCCCAGTGCCCGGAACAGTGCTGGGCATGTGGCGCATGCTCAGTCCATGATTGGGGAACGAAAGGAGAGGTGGGGGAGCAGACAGAGCTGCAGGGAAATGACGAGAGGTGGAAGGTGGAAGGCCAGAAAGGTTGGCCCTTCGCTCAGAGCATGGACACAGGCTCAGCGCAGCAGAATTCGTGCTTTCAGAGCACAGGTTCTGGACAAACTGGGGTTCTCACCCCAGCTGGGCTTCATCTCTCTGAGCCTCACATTCCTCATCTGGAAAACAGAGGCAAAAGGACGGGCCTTTTAGAGAAAGGGTTTACACAGCAGTGGCGGCCGGTAGCACTGTTCCTACAGAAATTCCTAACTGATCTCTGGGCTCCCCCTCTGTGACCCCACTTTTCCCAACCTGCCCATCAATTGTTGTCAAGTACCACTTTGGTGATGCCATTCCTCTGCTCAAGTCTCCCATGCCCCCCCCCCCCTCCACTTCCTACAAAACAATGGCTTGGGATTCCAGCTCTCATCCACCTCGCCCAAGCTTTCCAGAGCCAATTCCCATTTAAATGTGATAACCACCGAGCCAGGATTCCCCATCCCAGTGGGTCTCAAATCCCCTGAGAAATTCCCAGGCCCCACCCCAGACCATTGCAACAGCCTCTCTGGGAACGGGTCTTAACAAGCCCACCAGGGGTTCTGACGCACACTCAAGTCTGAGAATCACTGCTCTAGAGCAGCCCCAATTTATTATTATTATTTTTTTATGTCATCTCGGTAAACCATCCCAGACATGTCAAAGATTCTGTTATCAAAACTCTACTAAGAATGCCTCTTAGGCCTAGAAAAAAACACAACACAGCTTTGTCCCATCTCTGGGAAGGATCAGGCCCTTCCACAAAAACACCTCTCATATTTCCCCTGCAGCCCCGCCATCATTTTCATATGACTACGTCCCGTCTCCCCAAACACACGGATGTCCTTCCATCCCCCGGGATACCTAGCGCAGGGCTTCTGGCATGAGAACAGCTCCATGTATGTCCCAGGTGAGAACCTTGCAGTAATGACACATCTGCACTCTTAATAGGTATCAATAGCCTGATGCCCCCCCCCCCACCCCAGGAAACGGCTCCAGAAAGTTTTATTTATTCGCTAGGAAGCAGGGGTCTATGCACATTCTGAGACTCTAGAAAAGGGCCCTATTTCTGTTTCCTGTTCCAGAAGCAGTAAGACACACTGGAGCTAAAACTGAAGTTCTGTTAACAGGATCACGGGTGCAGCAGTAATAACTGCTGTTTACTGAGCACCTACTATGTGCTAAGACCTAATCCTCACAATACGTTTTTGAGAAACACAAGGCTCCCAGGCTCCTGTGCGGCCTCCGGATGGTTGCTACGCAAATGGCTTCTACCACCAACCGATTCTGTAACCCTGGGAAACTGAGGTCCCTTCTCCCAGTCTTTCATCTCTTCATCTGGAAAATAAGATGATCTCCCCAAGGCCCTTTCTGGCCTAGGATGAGAGGCTCATGCAGAAACTGCCTGAGGCATCGCCTGGAGCCAGGGGCAAGACCTCGCGTCCCCAGGGGCTAGCAGCCTCGCATCACAGCCCTTTGAACCCTAACAACTCTATGAGATATGCACTATTTTATCACTCCCATTTGTCCTGAACCCTGGGCCAGGGGTTGGGAAAACAGAAAACGAGGTGATGGGTCTAGCAGGGGTGACGGGCAAGCGTGGACAGGGTGTAAGCGCAGCGATGGGGGAAGTACAGGGCGCTGGAGAGGGAGGAAGGAGGGGAGGCCAGGGCCAATCAGGGAGGCGTTGGCCCGGAGCAGGGCCCACACAGAAGCTCAGGCTGGGGGCATGGTCCCTTTCTCTCCCGGGAGGCCGCCAGTGGTGGCGCAAAGAGCACTGGGTGCCAAGAGACCAGGGTCCAGGCCCAGTGCTGCCACGGCGCAGCAGGGGGAGTGACCTTGGGCAATTCCCACCCACCCCCAGGCCTCCTCTGCCCCACCTGTCCTGTGCAGGGCTGGGGAGCAAAGGGTCTGTGCAGCCGTGGTTCTTGGGGATCCTCCATTGCTCCCCTTCTGGCTCCCCCCAACCCCCAAGACATTCCAGAGGGAGAAGAGGCCTCTCCCAGGAGCCCCCAATGGATGCTGCCTCACAGTCACCGCAAAGCCGGGGTCTGAGGCCACTCCTCCTGCCTCCCCGGCTCC